ACATGGACGACATCATTGAGAGTGTTGGTGATAGGGAGAGAGCCGAAAGCGTAACACGGAACATAGAGAAGCTGGTCGACATAGGGGGATTCAAGATTAAAGGCTGGACCATCTCGGGCAGCTCTGACAGCCTAAATGAGAAGGAGATACCTAGTGAAACGTATGCACCCGCAGAGAAAGTCTTGGGAGTTTGTTGGAGACCCGTCGAGGACCTGTTTTGCTTCAAGGTGACGTTGAATTTCTCCCGACGAAAGAGAAAGCTGCATACCGAGCCGGATATAGAATCCCATCAACTAGAAGAGAGGTTTCCTGCGAAGTTGACAAAGCGAATGATTCTCTCCCAGATCAACAGCATCTATGATCCACTTGGGTTGGCAGGTCCATTTACCGTTAGAGCGAAAATCATGATGAGAAAATTGTGGATGAGTGAAGCGGAGCGGCTTGACTGGGACGATCCAGTGTCAGACGAATGCAGAGCAGAGTGGAATACATTTTTTTCAGATTTATTTATCATGAACAACATCAAGTTCGGTAGATGCCTTAAGCCCACAAATGCGGTTGGTGACCCAATGCTGGTGATCTTCAGTGACGGATCAAATAGTGCTTATGGTGCGTGTGCGTACGTCCGTTGGGCACTGAACGGTGGAGGGTTTGAAAGCAGATTAGCCATCTCTAAGAACCGACTCGCGCCAGTTAAGGCAATGTCCATTGACCGGATTGAGCTGTGCGGAGCCGTGCTGAGCAAGCGTCTTAAAGAGCTCCTGGAGAGAGAGACGAGATATCGATTTACCACGTGCTTGCACATTGTTGACTCACAGATAGTACACGCCATGGTCCAAAAGGAATCATACGGGTACAACACGTTTGCTGCAACACGCATTGGAGAGATTCAAAGCGGTACTAATCCCGAAGACTGGTGCTGGGTAGTTAGCGAGCAGAACATAGCCGACTGGCTCACTCGAGGCAAGGAGCCAAACGAAATCGACTTAAACAGCGCGTGGCAGAAGGGTCCAGATTTCTTGAAGTTGCCAGAGTCTGAGTGGCCTATTAGTAGGATCTGTGCCATACAAGAGCTTCCACAGGAACCTAGGGTCGTTATGATAGCTAACACCAAGCCCAAAGACTCCCTAGCGGTCAGGATTGACATAAGTAGATATTCGGATTATACGAGGCTGGTTAGAGTGACGGCTAGAGTGCTTGCCATGTTCCGAACCGATTATAAGCCGAGCTTCAGAAATGCTGCCAGAGTCCTTGAGCCGGCGGATGTTACTAAAGCGGAGCGATTCTGGATTCTCCAAGCCCAAGAAACTATGTTAAGTGACATGAAACGTGGACGATTCAGACGCCTGTGTCCAAGAGTTCGAGAGGATGGGATAATTGTCGTAGGAGGACGTGCAGAGAAATGGCTGGAGATGAGCTACAATCAGCGCGAAGTTCCACTTCTACCGTTTAGGCATGAGTTATCCCGCTTGTACGCGAAACATATACACGAAGAAGGCCATCAGGGAGTATCTGCTACGACAAGCAAAGTGAGATCAAGGTTCTGGGTCATCGGGCTGCCTAGGATAGTAAAGTCAATTAGATACAACTGTGTAACTTGCAAGAAGCTGGACAAGAAGACTACGACGCAACTGATGGGACGGCTCCCCCAGGAAAGGCTTAAGCCAGCACCTGCGTGGAATTGTACGGCAGTTGATTTATTTGGCCCCTTCAGGATTAGAGGTGAAGTCCAGAAGCGAACCACAGGCAAAGCATATGGCGTCATCTTCAACTGCCTTAGCACGCGAGCAGTCCATGTAGATTTGGCGCCTAATTACAGCACTGAGAAATTCTTGATGGTCTTAAGGCGATTTGTGTCACTGAGAGGTTACCCAGCGAAAATGATTTCAGATAATGGTACTCAGTTAACAGCGGCAAACGAGGAGCTCAAGAACGTTGTGGCATCTTGGGATTGGGATGAGCTGGCCGCGTTCGGAGCCACAAAGGGAATGGAATGGAAATTTGTTCCGGCCGACGCGCCTTGGCAGAACGGGGCCTCAGAGGCTCTTGTGAAGTCTGTGAAGAAGGCAATTACGGTAGCGGTCGGTGAGAGTGTGATGACCTTCTCTGAGTTGCAAACAGTCTGCTATGAGGCAGCAAACCTAGTTAACGAAAGGCCAATTGGTAGGCATCCGACGTCACCCGAAGATGGGACTTACCTGTGCCCTAACGATCTCCTTTTAGGCCGATCCACCTCTAGGGTTCCTAGTGGTCCCTTTAGAGAGACGAGAAACCCAAATCACCGCTTTGAGTTCGTTCAGCAGATTGTAGACGCTTTCTGGAGAAAGTGGATTAGAGATTTCTTCCCAAGTCTGATTGTGCAGCAGAAGTGGCATACAAAGAAGCGCAACGTGAGGGTAGGTGATGTAGTGCTGATCCAAGATTCAAATCAGGTGCGAGGTAACTGGAAGCTCGGTAAAGTGTCCAAGGTTTACCCTGGAGATGATGCCAGAGTAAGGAAAGTGGACGTGGAATACAAAAACCCCAGACCAGGTGAACCCGTCGACAAATACGAAGGCAGGGGCTACGTCACCGTGCAGAGAGCTGTGCACAGATTAATCGTGTTAGTTCCAGTGGACGATACCGAGGGAATCTCCGCTGAGCAGTAAGAAGGAATATCAGTTGTCCGAGCGCAGACGAGAGAGCAAGTATAACGGTGACGATATAAACTTCCCCAAGCGGTTTTGTGGGGGGAGTGTTTCGCTGATACGTGCGAAAGTTCGTGACATTCCATATGCACGTGCTCGTTGAAGCCCTTAATATTTAGTATTCATAAATCGTACCTTTCAGTAAAGCGAAATTGTAATTAATTCAAAGACATGAGTTGTAACTTGCAAGAGTAGATTCGTCGTGGAAAAGAGTGGAGAGTGGATTACAAGAGTGGATTTGAGAGGACTCAATGGATCGAACATTCGCGGCTGCAGGACACAAATGCTACCGGGTACCTATCGAGGAACGTTGATCTGACATTCGTTATATTATTTTATTTATGCGTTCTCGTAGTGATATTTGTACTTTAATTCTACTTTAGGTTTCGAAGGTGTTGTAATGCATCTTTGAGAACGGTAATGAACATAGTGGATTGCAGCTAGCGAAACAGTTAGTTTCTAGCGCCACAGCTATGTATAGCACGAGACTGAAATGTTATTACTATACCTCAATATAACATTTCCTGAGCATTCATTATATAGAGGTGTTTGATATACCGAACAATCCATTTATAATAACTAACACATTTCCCCTGTCCCTTTTCACTTCGTTAAATCGAGGTTCCACTTGTACTTAAATACTTCGATCAGTAAAATGTCTTTTTAACTTTCATACAGCAGAGAGGTTGATAACGAATTTGTTATTGTGGTTGTTGCAGGAAGATGAAAGCTGACCAAAGAAGACAATCACGGTAAAAATAAATATCAATATCCATGAAAAAAAAATTGTGTATTAATTTGTAACCCAGAAAACATTGTCCTATGAATGTCCTTTCTCCTTAGACAACAACTACTAGCATGTCTAAGCTCCTTACAGTGGCGTCTTCTCCGTTTTCAAAATAACCACGTTTCGACTAGATTCTATTTTTTAAAGAGAGGAATTTTTAGATAAATCTTCATTGACAATCATCATTAACCACTCATAATAATGGAAAAGGCTTTTCGTTCTGCATGGTTTGTAGAATCTTTTGACCCTCTTTTGCAGTTCATTGTAACTACTATTCTTTAAAAGTTAATATTTCAGTTTATTTGTTGCGTTAATGTAATGTGGCGCAAGGCAAACCCCGCGGGTACCCCTCTAAGTAAGTCACATGACGTGGTGTAATAACTAGGTGCGAAGAAATGATTGTGAGACTACAATCGGCGACAAAATTGTTGAGACATTGTACTTAAATAGGGTAACTTTGGAGAACAAAAGAATCTGCACCCCTCCCCTGTCCCCTCCATTCAAAGCTGGGCTGTTTGTTGTTTTCTATAGGTAGCCAGAACAAGGGCACAACATTGCACAGAGGGAATGGGGGAGGAAAGCTATATTTCCTCCTTTTGAAGTTAAAAAAACGTAAAAAAGCCCAGTTTTGGGCGAAGTGTCTCAACTCATTTTGTCGCCTATTGTAGTTGAGTAGCAGATTAAACTTGTGTTGTTCTCTTAATACCGTGTTTTAACTGGGAATCGTGGCATTACACTGGTGGCAGCAGTGAACAACAACGAACTTCCCGGATATATGTGTTCAATGGCGATATTTTCATGGTTTGCGTGACTGAGTTTCATTGTCCTCCATTGTTTTTCATCCAAAGTCTCTTCGTGTGTTTGCTATGGTCTCGCCCGTTTGCAATGGTGGAAAACTCACTTGTGGATTCAGGATTTAAAGGAATGAGTTGTTCAACGCCAGTTAATCCTTTTCAAGCGGGAAACCCATTTACATCAGAGTCTGTTTCATCTGTAGACTCATCAATGCATGCAGAGGGTCCAGGTCGGCGATTCCAATCAGCGGGCCCCTTTGCATCGCCACTGGATCCATCAGTACATGGTAGCAGTGCAAGTCACCAATTTCACTCCAAAAACCCGTTTGCATCGGTGAGTTAACAAGATACTTACTCTATTGATTTGTTACACATCGCCCGAAGTTAAACAAGCCTATTAAAAATCCTGCGGATTATGATGGTACTCAGTCGCTACGTGATTATTTGAAACACTTTGAGCATTGCTCTGTCGTTAATGGTTGGAACCAAGAAGAAGCCGCTCTATTTCTTGCTGCAGGCCTTTGAGGAGATGCCCAAAAGGTGCTCAATGGTATGTCTGATAGCGATTGTCAAAATTGCGCCAAAATTGTTGACAAATTGGAGCTTCAGTTTGGTGTTGAAAAGCAGCGCGAGTCTCTGTGTGAGTTGGGCTTTACTGTCAATGTTGAGAAATCTCAGCTAGTTCCTGTCAATGAGATCCTTCATTTGGGTTTAATAATTAATGCCATCGCA